AAAGAGGAATGGCAGACAGGCAGCTAGCTACCTCCTGGGAGAAGCCTAAAAGTAGATCCAGAACTACCTTCATTTTTTTTCCCTAAATAATAGCATCTGGAATAAATTTAATGCTAAAATGTACATAAGCTGCATACATTTCACTTAACTATACTCCACCACATGCTGAAGGCGCTGCTAGGGATAAACGTTATTTCTTCTCAAAGTTTTCCCATGGTGCACTACTTCAGAGTACATACTTAATGTCATACATTCCCATGGACATTGGAAGAGGTCTGCCACAACTTCAGGGGGGCCAAAAGGAAAGAGGATGAGCAGCACACATGCTGGAGAAGCACAGACTCTGTAACCACTTCTAACATCCTGCTTTTGGCTCAGAGCCTGTAGCTCAAGCAGCTAGGGCGCCAGCGACATACACTGGAGGTGGCAGGTTCCAGCCCAGCCCAGACCTGCCAAACAGCAATGACAAATACAGCCAAAAAACAGCAAGGCCTTGTGGCAAGGGCTTATAGTCCCAGCTACTTGGGAGGCTGAGGCAGGAGAATCACTTAAGTCCAAAGACTTTGAGGTTGCTGTGAGCTGTGATGCCACAGTACTCTACCAAGGATGACACAGTGAGACTCTGTCTCCAAAAAAAAAAAATCTTGCTTTTATCAAGACTCTCGTGCCAAATGAAGATTATTCCAGCACTATGAGAAAAGTTCCAGAAAAGGGGCCTGTAGAGAGAAAACTCAGGAGAACACCCAGGTATGAAGCAAGGATGACCTTCAGCCACACTGAAAAACTGGAAACATCTGCGTTCAGTCATCCTCTCTTGCCTCTTCTTTCAGAAAGGTTTTGCCTCCGTCCTTCCATGCCTCACAGCCGCCCCCCCCCCAGCTCTCTCCCCCAACACCTAACCAGTACCCTACCAATTATATCACAGTCTCCAAAGCATCCCTCCTCAAACTCTAGGCCTTCTAGCCATCTTTTAGAGAAAAAAAGTCACTCACAGTTTAATTCACACTCAATGTTAACATCTGATAAGGGCTGAACTCAGCCTTTCAGAGTCACTTTCATGTTAGAAAACATCTGGGCAGAAAAGTGTCATGCCAAAAGAAAAAAATCTCCAGTGACAGACTTTTAGGTCAATTGGACTAAACAATTTGAGGAGGGAGGCAACAAGTTTTCAACTCTTCAAACAGGTCTTAATATCTGAGCCACAGTCTGTTAGGAAATTGTGGCTACCATTAACTCTGTTTTTATTTCTCCATATTTGCAGGTCAGGTTTTGCAGGGGAAGGGGGTGTGTGATGAGAGGATATACTATGTAGAGTCTACATTCATTTTTTTCTTGTATCTTTCCCATCCCATCTTTCCCGTCGCCTTCTGGCCAACTATTAGTGTATATTCAACATACGAGAAAATATTTACTTACTTAAATGTAAGTCCAAGTCAGGCTACATAGACGTGGACTAAATCTGTCATTATTTAGGTTTGTATTCTTATCAGTCTATTACCTGGTAAAAGGTATCCTTTTAGGCTCGGTGCCTGTGGCTCAAGCAGCTAAGGCGCCAGCCACATACACCTAAGGTGGCGGGTTCGAATCCAGCCCGGGCCTGCCAAACAACAATAATGGCTGCAACCAAAAAAATAGCCGGGCATCGTGGCGGGTGCCTGTGGTCCCAGTTACTTGGGAGGTGGAGGCAGGAGACTC